AGAGAGAGAGAGAGAGAGAGAGAGAGAGAGAGGAAAGAGGCATAAAATAATTCATTTGCATTTAATTGTAATGGTTCAAAGAATGTTCGGAAAAATGTTCGGCCCTCCAGCACGTTCACTTCATCCAATCTGGCCCTCTTTGAAAAAAGTTTGGACACCCCTGCCCTAGATAATAGGCTCAAGATCCAGATGGATCTCAACAGACTTGAACACTGGGCCCTATTTAACAAAATGAAATTCAATACAGAGAAAAGTAAAGTCCTACACTTAGGCAAGAAAAACCAAAAGTACACATATAGATTGGGTGGAACCAGGCTTAATAGCAGTAACTGTGAGAGGGATCTTGGAGTCTTAGTGCACAATCAATTAAATATGAGTCAACTATGCGGCGGCAGCCAAAAAAGCCAATGCACTCCTAAGTTGCATTAACGGGGATTCAATCAAGATTGTGTGAGGTACTAATACCACTTTTTAAAGCCTTAGTAAGACCACACTTAGAATACTGCAACCAGGACCAGGGATGACATGATAGCAGTGTTCCAATATTTGAGGGGCTGTCACAGAGGAGGGGATCAACCTATTTTCCAAAACACCTGAAGGCCAGACAAGAAATAACGGATGGAAACTGAGCAAGGAGAGATTTAACCTAGGAATAAGGAGAATTTTTCTGACAGTGAGAACAATCAACCAATGGAACAGATTGCCTTCAGAAGTTGTGGGAGCTTCATCACTAGAAGCTTTCAAGAAGCGACTGGACTGCCATCTGTCAGAATTGGTGTAGGTTCTCCTGCTTGGGTGGGAGGTTGGACTAGGTCCCTTCGAACTCTGTTATTCTATTCTATTCTATTCTATTCTATTCTAGCAATATCATCAGTAAGAAGGGAGTGGAGTTTGTGGTGAGGAGGAGGAGAGAAAGAGGGCAATTTTGGGATCCTTGGTGTCCTCTGAGCTTGGCTGTTTTCTTGCAGATGTTTCATTACCCAAACTAGATAATATAATCAGCACTGATGATGTTACCTAGTTTGGGTAATGAAACATCTGCAAGAAATAGGCCAAACTCAGAGAGCCTTTCCTTTGGCACACATCCCAAGGAAAGTGCTGGTTGACACGTTATGGCTTGAAAAAAAAAGGCATGCTTTGGATCTACCTTGATAAATAACAATTCTTCAGACTTTGAATCAGGATGCCTTTCTCCCCTTCTCTGAATTTGACACACTCCAAGTGCTAAGGAAGCCAATCCACTGTTACAGGACGACTCTTCATCATTTCTTGTTTCTTGTTTGGCAGGTGAAACTAAAAGAATTCCATTGGCGTCCCTTCAGGCTAAGTTCCAGTTAATTTGCAAAAGGCTTAAATAGCTGTGAAGGTTCTCGAGATCCTAAGAGTAGTTACCTGCATGTCTATCAACACTCATGAACTGTCAATATGGGGAATACTTAGAACTCCCTCTGTAACCCTTCAGCTGAATGGGCAAAAGAAAATTGGGATGTTGGTCTCTTTACTTCTCAGATGGCTACTCCTTAGTGGA